ACTAAACAAACTCTACCTATCGAGGAACCTCAACTATTAGACAAGCGGCTCTATTAGTAGCAAGCCGCAGAACTAGCAAGGAATAGTATTAATCGCTATAGAGCTACCTATATGCGACAAAGAGTTATCGACACTATTATATATACCGATAGCTAGTGTATTACTAGGGGTGTTAGTATATTAGTGTATATAGAAGAAGAAGAAGTTAAACTAGGAAGCGTAGGTCTATATTAGCGCTTCGTAGGTAAGGTTTGCCTCTACTAATAGGATTGCGCTATTTAGCTATAATAGCAAGGCAATAATAACGGCTATACATTATCGCACTTTTAACGTAACGTAATAGCCGCCGACTGCTACTAGTTAAATGCCTAAGGCTAGAATTGCTAGCGACTAGAGGTATAGGCAAGGACTTCGCATTAGGCTATAGCTAGTTTAAAAAGCTCTTTAGTACGACGATAGAATGTGCTCTGCGCTCGTTAGCCGACGCAGCTCTCTAGTCTACCGCTACTACTTCGCCGCTAACCCCCTAGTCTACGGAGCTATTAGCTATCAAACTATTATTATACGCCTAGCCAAACCCTTCGTAGCTAGCTATTAAGCTATTATCGTACGCCTAGCCTAGCTAGCTATTAAGCAATTATCGTACGCCTAGCCTAGCTAGCTATTAAGCTATTATCGTACGCCTAGCCTAGCTAGCTATTAAGCAATTATCGTACGCCTAGCCTAGCTAGCTATTAAGCAATTATCGTACGCCTAGCCTAGCTAGCTATTAAGTAATTATCGTACGCCTAGCCTAGCTAGCTATTAAGCAATTATCGTACGCCTAGCCTAGCTAGCTATTAAGCAATTATCGTACGCCTAGCCTAGCTAGCTATTAAGCAATTATCGTACGCCTAGCCTAGCTAGCTATTAAGCTATTATCGTACGCCTAGCACTAGAAGATAAAGCACTAGAAGATAAAGCTATAGTAGCACTAGAAGCTAATAGCCTATATTAATTGGCATAGCAAGGAACGGTAGCTAAGCGATAGATATAGCAGGTTGGATTTCTATATACTAAATATGTTACCCTCTTAGTTAAGCTCGTTAAGATAGGTAGTCGGTAGCGCCTCGTCTCCCTACTCGTTTCCCTACTCGTCTCCTAGCTATCTATTACGCCGATCGACCGCATTAGCCTATATAGAGTCGCTAGCATTAATAGTAGAGTCTTCGATAGCACTAAGATTACCGGTAGCTATACGACTAGCAATAGTAGCAGCCTCTATCTCCTCGTCTATCGATACGGTACTACGACCCTAATAATACTACGTATTACCCTCGTTAAAGTCGGCTACCTTTTCTAAGATCTGTATGCCTCCGAGCTGCTAGATATTATTAGAGACGTTGCTACTAGGGTTTCCGTATAGCTTTGTGTATCTATTAGAGTATAGCTTCTCGGCTCTGCTAAATACGTCGATAGAGGTGTCCTTATAGGTATAGTAGCTGCTTAGCTTAATCCTAGTTATATTAGTTATTATAGTGCGTAAGACTCTAGATAGCTCCCGGTTTAATACTACCTTCTTAAATATAGCCTATGTATTATAGGTCGAATTAGCGTATCGGTTAATATCCTTAGAGTACTCGTAATTGTAGAGCTTAAGACACTTATTAGCTACGATAGCATGTCCCTTGTTACCGTTTATAGAGATTACACTTAATGTTAGGATTGCCTTTTGTGCTACTAGATTAGTACTAGGACCGAGCAGCTAGCGTAGGTAGGTTATTAGGCGGCTATAATTGCCCTAACGAGCACTAAAGAATAATAGGATTAGGAAGTCGACTAATCTACGAAGATAGCTAATATCTATATTACGGATAGACTTACGCAACGTAAGGAATTGCTTAATCTCCTTTAGTATTCGAGACATTGTCGTAAACTGCGGATCTGTTCTAGGTTAGCCGCGCTAGGTAGACGGAGACAACGTATCGTTATATATCTTGTCGACAAGATAGATATACTAATCGCGAGTAAGTCGAGAGATAGCGGCCTCTACTATTTCTATACGATTATCCTAGCTAGCGATAATAACTCGGCCTTTATCGATAAGCTACTAAATAACGAGACCGACAATACGAGATCGGAAGCTCGTCTTTAATAGCTACTAAACCTCGAAGAACTTAGCCTTGTCCTTGCTAATCTTATTGTCTCTATACTAAAAGGCAGTATTAGCCTTTAACGTCTAGGATACTAGCAATAGCTCCCTATCTCTGTTATTGTCCTAATAGGTCCGTAGCAATGTAAGGCTATAGTTTATTATAGTATAGAACTAGGTAGGAGAGAACAAGAGATTGTCTCGCTTGTCGTACGCATCGTCGCTCTTAACACTCTTATTACGGACAGAAAGGCCGCGTAGAACAGTTATCTAGTCGCTATTGCAGATAATTAGCGGTCTATTAGGTCCGTTTTTAAAGTCCTTATCTCGATCTAGGTCTATAAAGTTAAGAAGGATATTATCCTAGACTATATATATGCCTGCAATCGTAGCCTTATTATTAAAGGATAGTAGTATAGAAAGCACCTTAGTCTGTATCGCCGGCATCTTATCGATAACTAGCTACTTTAGACGACTAACGGCATTACTATCGTTATCGTCGTTACTAGCCTCTGCCGCCTCCTTCTTAAACATAGCTTTAACGGCTTTCGGGAAAGTATATGCGATAGCCTTATCGATATAGAACAAGGCAGTCTTCTTGCTAATCTCCGTAATCTTAATAGTCTTAGGCCCGCCGTTAGTAGTCTCGCCGTTAGCAGTCGGATCGGCTAGGTTCCTTAGGATCTATATATAGGCTTTATCCTCGTATATATTCTTAAAGATATCGTCTAGATCTAGAGGCTTGTTATAGTAGATTATACCCTTCTTTAACCCGCCCTCTAGAATGTACTTGTTCTCTATAAGGTACGATGTTATAATACTAAGTATCTTGTTAGTTTTACTACTCCGCTAGACTATATAGGTCTATATACGATTGAAATTATCGATAGTCTTGCTGCTCTGCTTCTTCGGGTTGTTAGCTAACTCGCTAATCTTCTATATCTAGATTTCTGCATTCTTACCTATTAGGATCTATATAGTGCGGTACGAGGGGATAAGGCTAAGGCTATTTAGGCACTCGAGAACTCTCCGGCTTGCTCTATTACTAACGAGAAAGATACTAAGGGCCTTCGGGAAGAAAGAGGCATTAATATAAGCTATTAAGAAAAGGATTTGCGATGTAATTATCGTAGTGCGCTTCCGGATAACATTGTACCTATCCTAGAAGGTTTCCTAGTACTAGGCGGTATTCTTTCGGACATTAGGGAGAAGGTCCTAGCTAAGAAGCTAATGCTATATCGGGGCATACTAATAAATAATACTATCTATATCGGTAAGGTCGAATTCGGCATAGCTAAATTCTAGATAGTAGGTACTAAAGAGATCCTTGCCGATAAGGGTCTTAAGCTCTATATATACAATACGAGCGCTAAATAGGCGTTCTTCTAGGAAGGCATCGAGGAGAGACTTAAGGTTTCTGTTATACCGCTTAGATCGCCTCGTTAAGACGCGTAGTTAATCCTAGGTTACGTCCTGCTAGGCCTTCTTGCCTAGCTTGCTAACTAGGAACTTTATAAGGTACGGTATAGTAATCTTATGCTTATTTATAAGCTCCTTAATCTCTTTGTAGTACTTATCGCGGTTCCTCTTCCCGCGAGCGGCCGCTATAAGGCGCTCTTCTTCGGTAAGAGGCTAGTCTGCCTCTTTACTATCTTCTTCGCTAGCTTTATTACTATCTTTATTACTATCTTCTTCGTTACTATCGCGAAGCTCGAGATCTTCCTCGTCGTCGGATATCTCTTTATCCTTCTCGCTAAGGTCTTTATCTATAGATGCCTTATCCTAGAAGTTACTAATCTTATCTATCCCGGCTAGTCTAACTAATTAATCTAGAGGGTTAGAGAGAATGCCGCCGCTGCTTAGATAGATTAGTAGATCGGTCTGTGCGCCTATAAGAATAGTCTGTTTCTTAGGTCCTCTAGGCAAAGTAGTATCGTCGTCTAGGCTAGTTATATTCTTATTATAGTTATAAGCGATAGCACTACTAACTAGGTTATTATTAGATAGTAGAACCGAGGTTAAGGAGGATAGATCGTCGCTCGATATATTAGCAGCAGTAGCAGCTATAGTAGTAGCGGTACTAGTAGCTATAGTAGTAGTAGTACTAGTAGCTATAGTAGCAGCGGTGCTAGCAGCTATAGTAGTAGCTATAGTAGCAGCGGTGCTAGCAGCGGTCTCTTAGCTATAGTAGTAGCGGTAGTAGTAGCGGTCTCCTAGCTATAGTAGTAGTACTAGTAGCGACTTTTAGGTATTTTAACCTTAGCTTTAGAGTCGCGTCTGCTATATAGTAGCAACTTAATAACTATACCTCGGATAGACTTATACTATATATAAAAGGTGTTTAGAAATAGTCTACGAAGGACCTCGAAGTATCGAGTCGGCTATAGGAAGGTTATTAATTGCCCTCGAAGGCTATAGAGCGGTTAGTAGGCGTCGGACGGAATTTTCGCCTATTTAAATAATAATTACTAGCGTTAGGAGAAGGACCTCTAAGTATTAGCTAGGCGATACGGTATATTATATATTAAGGTGTTTCTAGTAGTATAGCTAGCCGCCTAGCAATCCGGATAGCTATAGTCGAGTCGGCTTAGTAGAATAGCGAAAACTTAACGCGCTAACGTCGTATAGACTTATTTAGTAGGTAGAATAAAGCGCAATTAGTAGGGCTACAATCTCCGCTATTTAGATTATTATATTTGCGTAGTCGCGAAAAAGTAGTACGTCGCAGGCTAGTTTAGCACGGCTTGTTCTCAGGCTTATAGGCGAAGAATTATTAGGTGTGTTTGTAATTGGCTGGTCGGAAGGTTCGGAAGCTAGCCCTAATTACTAATCTATCTATCACGTGCACTCGGTCGCAGTTTGATTCTTCATGCCCACAAGCCTGATGGGAGGTAGGTTGGCATGGAGCAACTACTCTGACTACTCCGGCGCCTTCAAGGCTCGCGGGCTGGGGAGGCGAGCAAGGAGTTCTCGGCCTCCAGCGAACAGGTGCACAGACTATATGCTGTCCAAAGTAAGTACGCTGCTGTTCCTCTCGAAACCGAGCAGATGCTGACTGTTTGTCTCAGCTCGTGGACATTAGGGGGCTTCGTCCAGTGCTTATCTAGCCTCTCTACCACGCAAAGTGGGAGCTATTGCATACCTGAGAGTGACCGGACTATATCGTACCTCTACCGTCCGACGAGAACTTCCTACACTCAGGCGGCCTACACCACTCCTGCTGTTTTGCTCTACAACGATTCGATACTACCTATTGGAGTCCAGAAGGAGAACAGACTCTCTAGAAACGCCAAGATCGCCATTGCTGTGGTCGTGCCTATAGTCACTATAGTCTTGATCGCCGCCCTGGTTGTTTTCTGCTTGAAGCGAAGGCGGCGCAAACGGGCGAACATTGCAGAGGGCAGGATCGAGCGCTCTAAAGATTCGCATGCCTCACTCGAGGTGCACCACGCCGTGACAGAAGATCCTGCTTCTGATGCCTTGCATTCGAGTGGTCCCGCGGAACTTGGAAGTACTGGTCAAAACTATCCACATGAGCCGCAGGTAGATCAGCCTTCCTACGCTTTCAAGCGTCAAGACGCGATGAATCGTAGCAGGGTCGAGCTTGAAGATTCTGGCCGAGCTGAAATTGGCCATTCGACACGAGCGCCGGCAGAAGTGCCTGGAGTACTCCAACCTGGCTCTGGTCAGACGCGGAAATGAAGTTCGCTATGTGCACCTGCCCTGGATGTAGGAAGGTGCTGCTGGACTCGAGTTGGTGACATCAGACTGTCGACAGATACATGCAATCGGTTCCATATGCTTGTTCTCAACGGCTCGGCAGCATCAGCACCACTTGTGCGCGCGTCTTGGACATGGCTTCCGCCTCTGCCTTCGCCATCTAAATCCACCAACAAAGATGTCGTCAGTAGCGACAAGCGCCGACTCGGCTACAAAAGAGGAGGAAATATTCGACATCATCCTCATCGTCGGCGCAGAAAATGAAAAGCTACGCGCCTCCTCAGCAGTGCTCAGCGCCAACTCGCCCGTCTTCGCCGCCATGTTCGGCCCCAACTTTTCAGAAGGACAGCAGCTGCGAGACCCTAGCCGGAAAGATCCCGTCCAGATCAAGCTGCCCGAAGATGATGCTCATGGAATGCGCTTGCTCAATGGCGTTTTGCACAATGTGGGCATGATCCGCAGCGGATGGTGCTATGGCGGCTGGGAAACGCACATATCCGAGCTCGAGAAATTCGCCGTACTCGCAGCAAAATATATGTGTCAAGATGCCGCAAGATCTCGAGCGGGCGAATGGATCGATGTTCAGATCAAAAGACTTTTGGGACTGCTCGATGCAGGTGCGAGTGCGAGTGTTGACTATGAATTTGTACAAGTCCTTAAAGCTATCGATCTCCTTGACGACCATGTCCGCTTCGCCTACCTCTCGAACAATCTTGGTCGTAGAGGCTGGTCTCTGGATCAAGCGTTCGCTGACGCCCAGGATGAGTGGTTGATGAAATTTCTTGGTGAGTGCCCTCGCTCCGTATAAGCTACGCGCGCAAAAAAAAAAACTAACCACGGCAGACCACTACGAGAGAAGCAAGGACACGGCAATTCGAAAGCTCGGCGACATGCTTGATCAGATCGGTGAGACCGTCTTACGCCACACCATCCAAACGTACGGAGCCTCACCACCCGGTCGTCATCGTGGTCTGCAATGCATCTCGACGAGAAATCTGGCATCATGGCTACTAGAAGAGCTAGCCAATGGGCAATTATGGCCGCCTGAAAAGCGTCCGGCCACTTTGCCAGCACTCTTGGATAGGCTGCAATGCTATCGGACAAACATCGTGTCTTGGCGATGCTATCAGGATTTGTGGGGATGTCTTCGTTGGAATTTCCCCGGTAAAAGACTTTCTTGCACCTCACAATCGGTCGTTAGTGATACGCATAATGGAATTAAGGATGCTCAGGATTTTGCTGAGAAGGTTTTTGTTGGAGTCTTGCATGGCTGCTTTCGGGGTGGTTGTAAGGATGAGCGCGGCTGTTGTCGTGAAGGTCATGACGGTTGTGTGTAGTAATGGCGCTGATGGGAGACGTGTTGATGGGGTTTGATGCAGATGAGAGCACGAATTACTGTGAGACTAAAGGCATTGAAATCAGAGGCGATGTAGCAGAGTGTGCGGTGTGTGAAACAGGAGATACCATGTATCAGAGAGATGGAATCATTGTACTGCACGTCGCTCTCTCCCAATTCCCCTAATCTCTCCTGATGTCCTTGTCTTCATTCAACATCAGCTCAATCAAGACTTATAACGTACGCTGTCTACGTGTCCTACCTACATCTCCGCAGACATCACGTCCACGAGGTCTGCAAACCTCAAAAACCTCCCCATGATGGGGCAATCATCTCGCGACAATCTGTCTTCACTAGCAAGTGACCACAACCGTTAGATAAGTATCCTCCTCTCCGCTCCAAAAGCGGCCATGAGTTATAAAGATATCTTCATCACGGGCATGACCATATCTGTATGTACTATTAATGTGATTGATTAGCAGTCTCAAAAGCTTCGGGTTAATCTTAGGCTTCTGGTCTAGGTGAGCATAGTCAACGACAAGGCAATTCGGAAAGAAATCTTTATCTTGTGCGTTGCTGGGAGTAGTCCGAAACCCAGCGCCGCGTAGAGTCGAGGTGGTCATATATCTCATTATGAAGGCCCGAAATGGAAGTTTCTAATTGATCAGAAGTGACAAAATGGCGCTGATGTTCGGCCGCCATAGATTGATGTTTGTGGCGCAATGTGCTGACTTCGTTCTGCACGTTCGTTACGTGGGCATTGGTGCTATGCATCTCGGTGGTGATACGAGATTCCATTTCATCAGAAGTGACAAAGCGGCGCTGATCCTCGACAATCGAACGCTGTGTGCGGCGCAAAGTGCCGACTTCATCCCGCATGTCTGTTATGGATGTATTGATGGTGTCGGTGTTGGCGGTGATGTGATCTTCCATTTCGTCAAAAGTGACGAAGTAGCGTTGTTCCTCCTCTATTGAATGCTGTCTGCGGGTGACTGCGCGGATGGAGTTCTGTGCGTCCGTAATGCGCATATTCGTGGCCTCGGCGTCGGCGATGGTTGTAGGAGGAGGTTGTGCTAGATGATCTTGAACATGCTGCATCTGGACTGTGAGGTCTGCAGATTCTGACCCAACTGCTGCAAGAGCCGCGCCTTGCCCATCAACAAGTGCTTCTTTCTTGCAAAGACTTGACGCTGCTATCCAAAGCGCGAGTCTTCTGATCTTGCGCCTGGACTTTGTTACGCAAGGCTCGGACATCGTGCTGCTCAGAAATGATCTTTTCTAGCGCCGTCATTCTCTCCCCAAAGGCACGAATTTGTGATTTTCGCGCATCGCAGTCCTTCTCGAGACCGTATACCTTAGTGCGAAGATTCTGATTCTCACTCTCGAGAGTGGCGATCCGATTATGGGCCGCTTGAACATTTCCATCGGTCTCGATTTGCTGCCGGCCTAGTTTTTGGGCCCTTTTCTTCTTCTCTGGCTCCTTCCTTCGGGTATCCGTAGATCACATGTTGATTCTTGGCCCGTTAGCTTGCAATTTGCAGTGCGAATGTTTAGTGGAGCTACCTCCTTCTCAGGCTCTTTATGGTGACTTCTTCCGCCCCGTAAGATCGAGGCAGACAAGGCAGCACGCAAGACCAAAGCGGAGCATGAGCGTCGATTGCGCGATTTTCGGGAAGCCAGATGGACTCAGCCGGAGGATGGTGCTTTTCCAGGCTGGTAGAACTCAGCCATGCTCGAGTATGGGCTCGCAGATCGATGCTCAAGGTGGACGGTCGCCGCTGCCTTCGACGAAGTGGATGAACTGGAGAGAAGGAGAGAGCTCGCTCAGATTGGCAACGTGGTATGCTCTTCGGAATAGAGTTTGGCCGCTGACATAAGTGAGACAGGGGTTGCGAATGGAGCACGCAAGGAAGAACACCTCGTCTCTGCTCCGAATTCTTTCTACGCGAAACAAGCTGGCCTTCTACCCTTCTTTCGATCATCAAGTGGACTAGATCAATCGGCATCGCAGGTGGACGGACCATCTCGCGCCCTATGCGAACAGCCTCTCAGCAATGGAGACCAGGCTGATGATCAAGCTGCACGCCCTTATCCAATAGGCTTCTTCCTGCTTGCGGCGTATACTCAGGCTGGTGGCGGTTTTCCGACCTTCGCAGCCTGTTCCCATCGGACGACGCCGTCTGGTAGCCTTGTGGCAAACGCGACAACACGCAGAGCGAACGTACACGCAACCTAGTCTCTGCTTGGTGGAGACAGACTCGTGATGCTCGGCACTTCTTTCAAGCTCTTGAAGCAAGGACGAGCGGGGTCGGTAAACTACAGCTCACTGCTCACGCTTACGCTCTTACAACCTTATCCTCTCGCATTATCTCGGCTTGTGGCGTGGTCAAAGGAGCTAAAGACGGCATCTCAAGACTCAACCAAAGTGGATGTGCAGAACCGTCTCCAAACGTAGGGAGGGATATCTGCAGGACAACTTCTGAACCAATGAGCAAACTACAGCTGCTCATCCCCATTAGCTCTGACCACCAAGCTGAATGGTAAACTTGACCAGGATACTGCTCACTTACATATACCTCCATACTCCTCGTTGTTCCCTTATCGTCAGAACACTCCCGATCAACAATCGTCGACACTCATCATGGCTCCAGTATCTACTCAAGACCAGGCGCCCGCCTCCAATGGCCACGTCAAGAAGCAGCCGGCTTTCAAGAAGACAGCGGGTGCTGCAGTCGACCCCGGCTTTACCGGACCGGCGAAGCTCGAGTTCAAGAACAAGTATGAGGAGCGGGAATACATCAAGGGCCGACTTGCCTGCGCATACCGATTGCTTGGTCACTATGGGCTCAATGAAGGTCCCGCTGGACACATTACAGTCAGAGATCCCATTGAGCCGGAAACCTTCTGGGTTAACCCTTTTGGAGTCGACTTCAACTTGATCAACAAAAGTGATCTCCTTCGAGTCGATCACGAAGGCAACATCCTGGACCATGGTCGTGTCAAGCTTTTGAACAGATCTGCGTTCCTGATTCATGGGGCAATTCATGCGGCCAGACCGGACGTCCAATGTGCAGCGCATACCCATTCAGTCCATGGCCGTGCCTGGTGCGCCCAAGGCAGGAAGCTTGATTACATCACAATGGAAGCATGCCTATTTTGGAATGTGAGTATTGGCGTCCAGTCCTCCTCAAGAGCTCGAACTAACTGTCGCTCAGGACCACGTCGTGTTCGAAGGCAAGGGGCTCGTTCTGGCCGAAGACGAAGGTCGCGACATTGCAGAAGCTCTCGGCGACAAGAAGGCAGCTCTACTTCGCAACCACGGAATACTGACAGTGGGTCAGACAATCGAGGAAGCAGTAAATTGGTTTTACGCCCTCGACAAAGTCTGCTACGTTCAATTGCTAGCAGATGCCGCAGCCTCTGGTCGAGGTCTCGAAACGAGCAAGCTCAGCGAAGAAGAAGCTGAATACACTCGTAATTCAGTGGGCACGCCTAGAGCTGGTTACTTTGCCGGGAAAATGATGATGGATTTCATTGATGAGCTGACTGAGAAGAAGTATATGCAGTGATTTATTTCTACTCTTCCTCTCCTTCACCTCGAGCCGTCGACATTTCTCCTCTCACGATAATCATTTGCCTGAAGCCATTCCCTCGCTCCAGCTCTAGACGACCACTGGGTAGATGCTCGAGCTGTCTTCGCAAGTGGACCCATACGATTTTGCTCATATACATCGACTCGAGCTCATCAGTGACGCAGTGCTGTTTGCATAATAGCCACTCTCTTCGAGATACGGGACGACTTTGCAAGCGGGCTTTGCCTGTGAAGTGAAGCCTTACCCTTTGCTCTTAGCTCACCTATGGAATCTCACCCATGCTTCCGCTCGAGCTCATCACATGTGCTGTGCTGCTTGTATAACGACTACATTCTTTAGGTTCCTGGCCCGCTTCTGAAGCGCTAGGCGTCTGTGAGGTGATATTTAACCATTTCGTCGTAGCTCACCTTTGCGGCTCCACTTCACCTACGCCTCTCCGTGTGCCTTAGTACTATATTCTGTATCCACTCTGCTTCAATTGCCGCTGAGTATGGCATGAAAGTGAGTAGATAACTTGTCAAGAGAATCATTTTGAGTGTACCTGGCAGACTTCACTTCCGTTTTACTGCAATGCCTGCACGTTCAGCGTTGCGTCATACCGCTAGCGTCGTACGTATTATATCTGTGAACGGCCTCGCAGACTTCGGCTTCGAGCGCTTCCGTGTGATGCTCCACTTGGAAGTTCGTGTACACCGAGTCCGCTCACCTCACTTATAAACCAACGCTCCGCACTTCGACTTTCTGCATTTGCACAAATTTACGACGCGAACGCCGGCGTACATCTCACACGTCAGAAGCGACTAGCACATGCTCATCAAAACTTGTGACTTTCTTGTGACGCGACGAGATGGTGTCATTCTTCCAGTTCGCGCATAGCCTTTCGAACCATCTTCCGCATACATCATGGCACTAACTCCAGCAGCCATGGCGACCATACCTACAGCAGCCCACCGGCTCTTCAACATCCCAGAGCTCGTGGAAAACATTCTCAGAGCGTTCATGATATCCGACCACTTCTTCGGGACCAACATCACAACCACGATCCTCACACTCTTCCGCCTTCAAGGCATCAATCGCGTCGTCAAGAACGTCATCACCTGCGTCGCTTACTTTCAGCGCTTGCTTTTCGTCCAGCCGCACAGCGCCATCATCAAAGATCCCAGCTTCGTGCTTCGCCATCAGTTACACATCAATCCCTTCCTCGCCGTGGGCTTCCAACCGATACATCACATCTTCTCGCCATTCGAGTTTCACGGGTGGGGGATGCCAGTCGGGCGTGTCTTGCTTCGTTTCAAATTGGTGGTTTGTTCCTTCCAGAACTGGGTGCCTGCAGAGAGTGCGCTATTGCGGATATGGAAACGAACTCAAAGATCCTGGCGAATGATCAAGCTCTCTTACACCGGCGATAGCATTGATGTCAGGCTGATCATTCAGTGCAGCTTGCGAGGAGTTCTTGCGGCGCATAGGATGTCGCTTGCATCAACGGCAGACCTGGGCGAGGTCATGGATATTTGCGGCGAGATGGCACTATTGAGCAGGTTTATTCTGGATGAGACGCTAGAATTAATGACTGTGGGTGAGGACTGGGCTGAGATTTACGGATAGGTCTAAAGCGCCAAATCAGCCGTACTTTACATTTCCCACTGTACGATAGGCAGGCGCAAAGAACGTTTTGGGGAGTCACAATACCATGATATCACATTTTTGTCAGATGAATCTCAGTCAAGCCCATTCCACGGAATTAGGAAGTGCTCCGGCTTATTTGCCATCATTGGTTTGTTCTGCGCCTGGGACGGATACCGTGAGCTCGTCAAGTGCAAGCGGACAGTTACAGCTGCATCTTGTGCTGCTGTTGTCAAGGCGATGACATGTGCTAAAGGGCTTCTATGGGTTGTAAGAGTCGAAGCTAACAATTTCGAAGGCCTGGATAGTGGTAAATAGCTGAACGCTAAAGCGATCGAAGTGAGTAAGGTAGACGTACTCGGCGCAAGTGAAGTCAAAGCCCATGCCCTTCGCGTAGTACAGGCAAGAAGCTTCTATAGCTCATTGAAATAGTAAGTGCTTACGAGAAAGTCGGGTCATGCTAGATCGAGTACTGGGCATGAGCGGCGACTGCCCTCGAACTTTGTGAAAAGCTACAAGTCATCTCTCTGCTGTTGATTCAGTGCAAAGCTGCGGCAATTCTGATGTAGTGAGAGGTGACCAAATGCCACTCTTAGCAAAATGAAGGCCTCGCGAAACTCGAGTGTTCCATGTCAAGTGAGGTGAACCGTGTAAGTGTTAAGCCTCTCCTCACACATATATACGCTCAGAGGTCTAGGGCGCAGACAGGCTGATAGATCGAAAGCCTGGCCAAAGGCTCGGTCCTCGTACGCATACAGGGAGCTTCTGCCTGAAGCTGGCTTCCAATGATGGCAATTTCTCGGGTCATGGTGACCAGAGCTCGTTAGATAGGTGAGGGACTCAAGCGCAGTGAGTGCTTAGGGCGGTTGCGGCAGAATGTACATATGTTTGGTGTTTGTGAAATTGTGAGAGAACGAGAAGCAATCGGGAGAGAAAAGTTCAATCTCCGAGCGATTATTCTAGTGCTGTCTTGGCGTGCACGTGCCATTGCCAAGAGGCCACTTTGATGGCAGCCTTCATCCACCTCATCAGCTCTGGCCTCGACACTCACTGAATCTCGATATCGTGTGCACGATATGATAGGCGCAATATCATCTCTAAATGGTCCGAAAATGGCATCGTGGCGCTCCAGAAGGGCCAGAAAAGTTCCCCGACCTCGAAAGGAACTTTCAACAACTTTCAATCAGCAATTTTCATGCCGGGGCCTTCGCTCTTTAAGCGTCTCTTGCCGCTGAATATCGAAGTTTTGAGAGAGATCGGCTATCGTGATTGATATGTCAGAGAACTGAACCAGCTCACCATCTTCCTCTTCGCTTGCAGGGCAAGTGGGGACAGGAAGCACGAAGCTCGCTCTGCCGTCATCAGCTGCTTCGATGTCGGAACCCGTTTTACCACTTCAGACGTCGGATCTCTTTATCACACATCCACAACGACCATCCATCATGTTTTTGAGCGCTCCCGACTCATAAAACCTCACAATGGCAGACACATTCATGGTGGCACCAAAGCCGCCGCCTGAGCTGAACATACCAGCTTCGAAGTCGACAGTGAAAGTATCATGCATAGATAGGTAAGCGCAAGAAGAATAAAAGGAACGAAGTCGCTCTCTGATAAAGGATCAAGCACATCTCGATTCGAAATCCCAATGTCGCCTTTCTTGCAGCCAGATTACGAAGGTCATGATAAGCTGATAGGGCCCTCGTTCTCATTCCTGATCGAGCATCCATCTTCGAAACCAATTCTCTTCGACCTAGCTGTGCGCACAGACTGGGAGAAATATCCTTCCTACGAAAAGTGGGTGCGTCTAAAGTGGGAGATCAAGGTCGAAAAAGACGTAGCCACGATCTTAAAGGAGAATGGCGTTGATGTCGATGGTGGGGCCATTGGGGCCATTGTATGGTCGCATCATCATTGGGACCATGTGGGAAATCCAGCAACGTTTCCTTTTTCGACGGAACTGGTGGTTGGTCCCGGCTTCAAGGAGGCTCATCTTCCTGCATATCCTACCCGACAGGATGCTACCCTTCTGGACACCGATTTTGAGGGGCGTAACACTCGGGAGATCAGCTTCGAAAAAGAAGGCAACGGCTTAAAGATTGGCCGTTTCAACGCCTTCGACTACTTCGGCGATGGCAGCTTTTACCTTCTCGACACGCCAGGCCACTCAGTCGGGCATATTTGCGGCCTTGCGCGAGTGTCCTCGAGTCCAGACTCATTCGTCTTCATGGGTGGCGACGCTTCTCATCATGGAGGAGAATTCAGACCGACAGAGTACTCGCCGCTCCCTAAAGAGCTTAACCCTTCTCCTTTGAGACGCAACCATACAATATGCCCCGGTCATATGTTGCTGGACATGCACCCTCATCAAAGGGCAGACAAGCCATACTACTATGTGACAGCATCCTTCGCCCACGACAAGAAAATTGCCGACTGGACGATAGATGGTCTAGGAGAGTTCGATGCACATGAGAATATCCTGATGCTGATGGCGCATGACGATGCCGTCGTTGATCCTCCACAATTTGACTTCTATCCAAAATCGCTCAACAGCTGGCTTAGTCAAGGCATTGGTCAGAAGGTCAAGTGGATGTTCTTCAGAGACTTTGAGGATGCCATGGAGTCCAAGGGAAAAGGTGGCCAGGCGTTTACCTGGGGCGAGTATCCTTGAATTACAGACAACTCAGTCAGATGCGCTTCGATCAGATTCCATCGAAATCTTGGTCCGCAAATTCTCATCACTCATTACTCGGCTCTACATGCTGATGCTTTTATCATATAGTCCACGCACTAGTCCTGAGCTCCCATTCTGTCGTCCAAAGTAGTGCTGCCTCCCAAGATGCTGTCATATATAATCCCAAGACTGCCCGTCTACCCTCCTCTTCGAAGGAGCGATCACTTCCTCTTGCGGCCATCCATCGTACCCATGCCCACTCCCCAATCTATCTTCGATACTCGGAAACCGCAACAGTACTCTCGCAGGTGTTGAAGCTTTGTCACCACTAGCTCTGTGCAGCACCACCCGAGGAGGTTTCGTATAGGCAACACGGCCGTGCTCGTCGATAGTTGGTTGGTCTGCAGTAGTAGAACACGACCAAGATCGATCTTTCGTAACTTCAGTCAACGTAGGCGAGACTGCCACCTTCTCCTCATCACTAATCGTCCAAGGCGCCGGCGACTGGGTTTGAAGCTCCGGAAACGGATCCACTGAACTATCATCCGCGCGAGAGCGAGATGGAAAGCAACCTTTCATAAGGACCTTGAACGTCGAAGCCGAGCTGCAAAGTATGACTTGAGGAAGAAAATAAGTAAATATCAAGGAGTCAGAAAGCGGTGCTCTCTTTGCTTTTGCTTACCCATATGTAGCTCAACCTGACACCATATACTTGCTTCAGCAGCATCGTAATTTATATCGGCAGATTTCATGAGATCCCAGAGATAGTAACATCTGAAACATCCGGCTACACGAGAGTCAGTATATAGTTCGCAAAAAAAAAATCTTTTAGAGTTCGATCATCGATCACTACTTGCCGATGATTGGTAAAAAGCCAAGAGCGAATAAGGCGCACACGGCATATCTTTGACGCTTTTGCGATCGTCAGTTATCATAGAGCTTCGAAGCAGGATTTTGTGAGGGTCTTTCTTACATTCGGTAGTTCCAGACCGTGAAGCATGGGTAGTGGTGTTGAGATGATTGCGGCGGCGACGACGATCGTCAGGATACCTGTGACGTTGTAGAGGTATTGCACGTCTTGCGGGCTCCAGCATTGGCCTTGGAGTGCTCCTTGACGAGACCAGAAAAGTGTCGGATGTGTGCAGGTAAAGGGTTGTACCACCATGAAGATGATCTTCACAGTTGCGACGCAGCCCATTAAGAAGTAGACCGCAAATCGCATCGGTGTTCTTTGGTCCAAACGCAGGTATAGAGTGAGGAAGGAGATCTTGGTCAAGATTGCCGTGGCCACGTAAAGGACCAAGATCACGAATCCGAGTGTCTGGAGGAGTTGAGTATCTTCTGGTTGAATATTGTTGCCTTTAGTCGTTAGATTCTGTTTATCTTGGCATGTGTTTCTGGACTCACTATGCTTTCCGAGACCAATGTAAGCAGCTATGATTTCATTAGCATTTCTTGTCGCTGGTCTTGTCGTAGAGGAATTTCCATCCATACCTGTGACGAAAGTTGAGGAAAGTCCAAAAGCAGTAAACTGGAGTAGTGTGAGCTTGCATTGAGCGCGCCATCGATCGGGGGCAGCTTACTGTTCCAATAGCAACGAGGACTGTTTATCGATCAGCAATGCTCAGATACATAATCCAGTAGAGATCTACTTACTGTCCTCTGCGAATACTTTTCCAATGATCGCCAGACGTGCGTATAGCCTTAAGCTTGTTCCAACGAACGAGATGACCATGAGTATGACGGAAACCACGATGATAACCAGCTGCTTGCTGTCATCTTGGTTGCTAGTTGCCTCCGTCGCTGCCATTGTGACAGCAGCCGAAATGGCCGCCTCTTCAGATGGGGAGTCGTTGGCGAAGGGTAAGCGCCTAAGTAGTTGAAGGCGGGCAGTACTTGATACTGTCTTGTTCCATCTCACATTGTGCACGATCACTAGGTTCAACTACTGAAAGTTAACACTGTGCTGTTACCGGACGGGGCAGTACCGTGTAGTATTCGATGGCCTCTAAGATGCGTACAGGCTCGCAAGTTGCATGCGCCGACTACATCCTCCCTGCGAGAAAACGTTCTTTGCATTGACATGTACCAGGCATCCTGCGGCAACATCGAGCAGTCGCCGATCTAGCCCCTCGTGCTGGGATGTTCTGTGGAACTTTCGTTGCGGTCGATCTCAGGCTAACTGCATATATTGACGAGGACTATCGGATTTTGTCAGGTACCGTTTCGATCACGACTCGCGGCAAGGAAGGCCCACCTGGTTGCCAGCCATTGGGTCTTGCAGAGTCTGCCATACTGTCGCAGAAGTCGAGTCAATTGTTAGGTTCTCCTGCAGCGGATTGCTTTGGTTATACCTGGATAATTAGCGCGTTGATGGTGATGCGAAGTTGAGTAGAGTCCGGGGCTCAGTATCATGGCCAGGCTCCATACTAAGGCCAATCGGTCGCTCTGAAACCATGTCCAGGCCGGCCATAGTCGGCCGTGATCTTGCTTCTTCTGCAAAGACAGCAACCGGATCTGGTGCCCAGATCTTTCGGTCCGTGGGTAGCAAACATTGAAAGCTGCGTCTAGTGACTTGACCTTCATAGAGATATTGCGAACAACCACCTCCATGATCGGCAAAAACAGCCACAGCCTGACTCGTGCTTGCATGTCTCCGTTATTACTCGTCTCCCCGTTGACTGATCAACGCTGTTCCGAGAGCCCTACGATCAGCAGGGATTGCCCGGGTCTCAAGCCCCGGAAGCTGCGTCAAATATTGGCACATTTCACGTGCTCATCACAGAGCGTGACGTGACCATCTGCGACGTAACAACCACGAGCCATCACTTGCATACAGTTCATGCAGCAGTCTTTCTCTGGCCGTACCTTACATTCGGTGAAACGAATTGCGAACGCTCGCCGGAGCTCGAATCTTTCGTGCTATCCTCGTCAGGAATTCCAGAAATATAAGGCAGAGAAGTTTCAAATTCCGCATCTGTCAAAGAAGGTCTGTGCATGCAACAGGCGTCTGCTCCCAAACTCATTGGAGACATGCGGAACTCGGGTTGTGCAGAGTCGCAGCTGCCTGCACACAGGGCTTTCGCGGAGTTCTTCGCATTTGAAGCGAAGGAAAGTGTGTATCCGCTTGGATGCTGCTGACATGGTTCCGCATGTTCAATCGCTTTGAAGCGCGCTGATCTGCGAAATGCAGTCCCTCCAGCCCGTCGAAGTCTCATCGCCATGTCTCCTTCACTATGGCGTAGTGTCGCACGATGCTCTTTTTGACATCGCCACCCGTCCTCGCTGTATCATTCTTTTCAGTCGTGTGTGATTACGCCCACCCACACTGCACACTTCCCTCGCCCCCTTGCTCGCCTTGCTCGACTCGGATGATTTTGGATATTGCTGAATATGATCTTCTAGGGTCTGCCACGGCATAAGAGGACGTGAAGGGGTGGAGTCGTGTTGTTGGGGAAGGAGAGATGCTGAGAGCAGACTAAAGAGCTGGCTATCGATAGCCGATGTCGGCCTGTCGGATGTCGGTTGCGGAGAAGATCATGAACACGAGTGCATCCATCGTGTGCTCTACATGTATACAACGTAATGCTTCGATCTCCCAACGCACGTAGACCACGCCTCCTCACAAACTTTCTCGGAGTCTCAAGATGGCCTCCGCTGTTGCGAACCTCCACTCCGGCAACAATGCGCGCTTCAACGCTGAAGCTCTTTCGTGGGACTCAAGGCCGTTCGTGCACGAAGCATCAGCAGGAGCAGCAAGAGCCGTCAGAACATGCTTAGACGAGCTGCAGGCACCAGAGAAGGGTTATGAGGTCCTTGAGATCGGATGCGGCACGGGCATCTTGTCCTTCCTGCTCGCGAGAGACAAGAGGGTGAGAAGGATGGTGGCCGTCGATGCAGCCGAAGGCATGATCAACGTGCTGAAGACGAAGGTCGAGAAGGACAAGGAGGTAGGTGACAAGATTGTTCCTCTGGCAATACTGCTACAAGATCCAGAAGATGCCGCACTGCCATCAGCAGCGACTGGGAATGGAAGACAAAAGTTTGACCTCATTACGAGCCATCTCGTGCTCCACCACATCCCAGATCTCAAGTCTGTGCTCGAGACGATGTACGGATGTCTTGCGCCTGGTGGCTGTGTGATGCTTACGGACTTCGAAAATGTTTCATCAGAATCCAAGCGATTCCACCCTGCGAGCAAACTGGATGGGGTTGCAAGACATGGGATCAATGCGAAAGAAATGGGCGCGCTGATGAAGAGTGTTGGGTTTCAGAATGTCGATGTACGAGCTCACTGGACCATGGACAAGATTGTGGAGAAGTATGAGGGAGAATTTGGAAAAGAAGATGATGGTGCAAAGACAGCGCAAGAGCTTGGCAAGCTCGGCGAGACCATGCAGTTCCCATTCGTGCTGTGCTATGGGATGAAGGGATAGCATAGGTGTGCAGTAGAATGAGACGTAGATAACCGGCTTGGCGCTTCGAGAGGGCTACGCTAACTCGCTGCGACATACAGTAGCGTCTGTATACCTCATCGTGGACGTGACTAGCCGCGGAACGCCGAATCACAAGTTGCTATTCGCTGTTGAAACGCTGGATTTTTCTTGGAAGAGCGGCATATCGGCACATGCTGCCTCCCACGCAGGGAAACTGGTGAAGATGCCAAATGCGACTGCGACTGCGACTGCGACTGCCACAGCCACAGCCACAGCAGAAACGCCATGCACATGCACATGCACATGCACAACGGAACGACTGGTGCACTGTTTTCGACCTGCTGAAACAGAATTCCTGTCATTGCCGATTGTCTGATCTGCTGCAATCAACAGCAACACCTCCACCAGACATCCACAACGCTTTCGACACTGCTTGTCGAATGCAGCACTACGACACATTCCGGCGGCTTTGGCGTCAAGTGCCACGATGCGCGCATATCCCGCTGGTCGTCACCCTGTTCTGCGCGTGCACGGCTCTCCTACGCGGACTCAGCGACTTTCGCGACCAGCACGTGAAACAATATCCAACGGACTTCTCAAGCCTGCATCTCGGCGGTAACGACCCTTTTGCTCTGCGACCTCCAGAGCAGCCTGTGAGATACACTCAAGGATCTCAGATCGATGAAAGGTACACCTACCTGCGAGAGCTTGGTCACGGGCGGGAGGGCTCTGCCGCTCTGTACATCGATCTGGAATCTGGCGAAAGGGTGGTGGCGAAGACTTTTACGAGCATAGCAAGAAATTCACTTCCAGAAATTCTTGCAGAAGATTTCGAAGGTGTGACGACGACATGGCCTTCAGAGATCGAAGCAGGCATCACTTTGGGCGCTCACTTGTCTGGCTTCGTGCCGGTGTATGACTACTTCATCTCGCAGACCGAGGGCACAGGTCACTCTTGGATGATGATCAGTCCCTTTCTCAATAACGGAACTCTCGAATCGTTTGCAAAGCGCGAATGGAAAACGTCACAGGTATCAGCTAGCCAGCTCGATGAGTACTACAGACCGGCACTTGACCGTGTGCTTCGTATTCTGGAGCATTTACACACGCTCGGCTTCTGCCATGACGATGTGAAGCCCGACAATTTCTTTATGAAAGACTCGTTAGACTGGCTACTGGGCGATCTCGGCAACCTCAGACACGTTGGACATCAGTGGCATACCACTCGATCCTGGCTGCGCCAGAATCAGTGGGCAGACTGTCGGCTGAACGATATTCGGCGTGCGCTCAAAAGCTATCTCTGGTTTCTCCGAACTGCAAGTGCTGATACAAGCACCTTCGACAGAGCTTTCTGGAGCAGAAGTGAAGGCTGGGCGGAAAGGTACTGGGACTTTGTCAATTCTGCCTCTGGCTTTTCAGCTGGTCCAAATCAGAAGAGTGCTTTCGGAAGCGACCATGTATCACTAGCTGCGGACACGGCAAGAGAATTGGTATGCACGGGAGTTCCTCGGCGTTTGTGGTCGTGGCGGGATTATTTGCTATGGTATTGATTACGACTTTATGAGACTACGAAGCTGCAGTACGCAATCGGATTGAGAGACAATCTACTGGAAATTCTCCAATGGAGCAAAAGACTCGAAGCGCTTGTTTTTGTCACTATCGTGGCAAATTCATCAAACTGCGCCTTTCGCCAAACACGGCTTCTTTGGTACCCACTCACACCAAAAGGATTTGCCCTCTTTTAATAAACTCTAGTCGGACTCAGGTGTACTTAAAGGTAGACAGCACTTTGCAAGAGGCTCTTAAAGGATATAGCTGACCGTTAGCCCTTCCTGCGCGGCCTTTGAAGACAGGTTTCTTTGAAAACTACTGATATGAAGCTATATTCTCCTTGGAACCTTGATACTAAGCCTTATAGAAAGAAACTCTTTTGGGAGCTAGTACGGACTGTATATCCTGGATCTTTGATTAAAGAGGATGTCTTTGGGAAAAGCCCGGGTCTTGATAGAGAAGGCCTTCTTTGGTCAAAATATGCTAACGAAATAGTGCTATTTGACAAAACAAGATCCTGCTTGGTATGATATCAACGGACGGCGAAATCGCATGCTCCTCGATGAATTGTGAGTTGCTCGAGTCACATGCTGACACTTCAGTCCTTACTTCACTGTCCGTGCGCAAGAAGCTTTGCGGTTAACTTCAGCCGTTAGTTACCAGTTCAAGCTTGACATCATCAACAACTTCTTTCCTGCAGAGCTTTTACAAAACACAACACAAACTTCATCCAGCGGCTCGAAGCTACGCCCTCCTCCGACGTAATGGCAAACAACCACGGCGCATGGGATGGATTTTACAGCGACCGATAGCGACTCCGTCAACGAGTCGTTTGCCGCCCTCGAATGCATGTTCGACCCGCCCGTCGATGCGATCTGCCCTTTCGGCGATATCATATTGGTCGCAGACGACAACCTCCATCCGACAACCAAAATCCAGGTCTCGTCTTGCATTCTGTCTATGGCGTCGCCAGTGCTCCGCGCTCTCTTCAGTAAGAAGTTCGCTGAAGGACAAGGTACCTCGAGTGATGGACCAAAGGAGGTACGGCTGCAAGAAGATCCGCAGACTGGTTACAGAAACACGATTGCATTGCAGTACTTCGATGGCCCGTCAAAGGCATCTTTGACAAGATCAACCGCCGGAATGCAAGTTTAAGCCCCGCCGCCTCCTGCACAGCATACGACTACGACGTAGCCGCTGCAGCATACATTCATCCACCAGCCTGAATTCTTCCGCGACATTACTAAGGCTCTCGTACTCTGCTCAAACAACATCACGCCGCACTCATTCAACCCCAGATGCCACGATTTCATCCCGTTGGCGATGATCACCACGCTTAGTGCGCAACTTCGAGCAGCTCAAAATGTCATGACGCATCATGTCAATGTGGTTCTTCAGCAATCCTGCCTGAATGCGTCCCAGTTGACAAGCAACATCTAATAACGCCGTTCATGGACTCGATGTCGAGCCTCCTCCCGATTAACTACAACTACAACTCAAGCACCCTTTGGCATCTGCTGGCTCGACTTGACCAGGTTCGAGTTCCACCCATCGTCATCAACGAAATGCACTGCAACTGTTTTGCTCTGACTCGCAAGAACTTCGTGAGCCCTGACGACAGTGGTGTGGACCACGAATCATCAGAGTGGGTGTGGAAGTCTGTCCGTGGCGAGCGCGCCGGCTGGCATCATCGTGTCTCTTGCTTACATCAGACTCCCATCGATACTGTGGGCATGTACATCATACAGCAGGACGATGTGGAAGTCGCGGCCGAGAACGTTCGCGATATTCTTCAAGGCCCATGTCTTGATTGCGTCAAGCGTGGCGGAGGAGGAGTGGGCGAGTGTCGCTCTGCACATGTCAAGCCGTGGAAAAATTGCGAACTTAGCAATACGTCCAGGTGGGACGATAGGCCTGAAACATACTTGGACATCGACTGCTTCCATATGTTGGTTCCAAGGACTGTTGAGAACTCCCATCTCCCACGATCGCTTGATGGATCCGTTCGCACTCGCGGGGAACCGTCTTGGTGGGAGAAGGCTTGGTAGTATTGAAATGAATGCGGAGACCAACACATAGCAGAAGTGAGAACTTAGCAATGTGAAGCAGAACTCCAGAGTGGAGTAGCAACGAGCAAAGAGCCCCCAAGATCAGCCGCGACATAGAGCTCAGGATGCAGCATTGGGCTTGGGAGAGACATCGATTTCTTACCACCGACGACCTGGGACACATCACGAATATGCATAGCGAGACAGCAGTTCGTAGCATACCTCTTCTAGACAGATAGAGCCAGCAATGCGTCGCTTCAATACCAATGCGATGGATCATGAATGCGGGATCGAAATAATCGACGTTGTCTGCGTGAAGAGCTCTCCAAGCGCCATCGTTGTTTCGATTGGTAGAGAGCTCTACCTAAGCGCGTGCTGTTTCGATCGACATTGCGGTCTGACGAAGTGAGGTCAATGTGAACGTTCATCGCAGTCATCAAGTGCAAGGGCTTGGTGGCCCTGGCGATCAAAGCGCCGTTTGATATGTGTCGTTTGATCTATGCCCTAAGTCATCAGCTTCAACCCACTATCGTTACGTCGGTAGGCAGTTCGTCCCGATGAAGTCCTACACCAATCAATGAGATTCTGTCATCAGTTCTTCACGGCCGACAAGCCAATTCCTGACTCTTGCTCACATTCCCGCGATTCCGGATAACAAACTGTACGTGAGATCTTGGGAAGTGTAAATCAGAATTGAGAGGCCTGCAAATGTGCCTGTCATGCAAAACTTTTATTTCGGCCTGATGCGTCTAGTGCAAGACCCGGATGACCTTCAGCAGATCGCCGGTCACACCCATAGCTGTGACATCGCCTCCTGCACCAGCCCCTTGAATGATCAATGGATTGCTTCCGTAGCGCTTAGTATAGAAGTTGATGATGTTGTCGCTGCCCTTCAGTGCGGCAATTGGATGTGATGCGTCGAACTTCTCCAAGCCAACCTTCACCTGCTTCGATGGCACATCGATGCTGCCAACGAAACGTACCACCTTACCCTCTTGCGTGGCTTCATTCTTGACCTTGTCCATTTGAGCGTCGAACTCAGGAAGTCGTTGTAGGAACTCGTCTCCAGACTTGCAAGACTCCAGCTCCTTTGGAATAAGCGACTGCACCGGAAAAGCAGTCGGTGACTCGACGTTCAAGCCGGCGATTCTTGCCAGGATAGTGAGCTTTCGTGCCACATCCAAACCATTCAAGTCGTCTCGTGCATCTGGCTCAGTGTATCCCAGCTCTTTCGCGTTCTTGACTTCAGCGGCGAACGTGCCTCCTCCACCGCCAAGTGGCTGGAAGGAGTTGAAGAGGAAGGACATGGTACCAGAGAAGACACCCTCAATCTTCGTGACCTCGTCGCCTGTCTCCACGAGCTCCTTTAGCGTGGAGATGACTGGCAGACCAGCACCGACCGTCGACTCGTGGAAGACATAGCCATTGCTTGGCGACCCTGTACCGTTGGCTGCTGAGCTGAAAATGCTCTGCCAAAGATCAATCTTGTCCGAGAAAGCCTTCTTGTTTGGTGTAACAATGCTGATTCCTCGCTGAAGAACCAATGGATACTGCTGTGCAATGCCCTGGTCTGAAGTGTTGTCCACCAGCACAACCCTGCCTGGAGCTCTTGCCAGCTGGCCGATGGTCTCGTTGAATGGTGAAGGTGGCGCGCCTGACTTTTCGAGTTGTTCTACGACAGTGCTGATATTCAATGCTTCCCAGCTCGAGCTGAAAAGTTGCTTGTTGCTCCTTCGTGCGAGCACAAGACGGAGGTCGATTGGCGGGTTTTGCTTGGAGAGACGCTGGCGGAGGAACTCGAGCTGGGAGAGGAATGCCTTGCCAACGCCGCCGACACCGACGACGGCGATGTAGATCTGTTTGGCAGACATGGCGGTGGATAGACAGTGACAGTGGATGTTACAGTATTTCGACGGGCTTTTCGTGACTTTCACTTCCCACTTGCCCCGCCTCCACTTCGTCACATGCAGGGCATGCAGGGACCGTACAGTGGACTGTGACATCCCAAGCAGCGGCCAAACCTTGTAGAACAATTGATCCTCTTTCGTCACCTTCACGATATCATATCTCGCAGGAATCATGTCCTCGAAAGACTCACACCTTTACAATCATGGCCGATCACGCAACCTGAACGGCGGCAAAGAGATCTCATCATCGGCCACACTTTCCTTCACTTCACAATTAAGCTCCCTCATCAGCTCCGGGAGCAATGGCACTTCTGCGAAAACATCGTCCGGTCGCTCCCGATCCAAGAAGGACGACATCTTCTCCACGCACAATCGAAACTCTGCCAAGCGTGCGAAACGCGACCTAGAGCCTGACAATGCAGGCACGTTCGAGCAGAAGCATACCACAAATGGCGAGGCACTGGACCGCGGAATTTGGGAGCGCAGTAAGCGGAAGATGGAGGAGAAGGCGCGATTGTACGCTGCAATGAAGCGAGGCGACATTGAGGATGTCGATGAGAGATATGCGGTAGACTTCGACACAAAATGGGCCGAGGCAAGAGCAGAAGGCAAGGAAGATCTTTCGGACGAAGACAACGAAATTGAGGACGCCGGCGAGGAAGTGGAATATGTCGATGAGTTTGGCAGGACGCGTAAAGGCAGTAAGCTGGATGCAATGCGCGCGCGACAACAGTCAGATCGAAAGACAGACAGCTACGGCGCGAAACCTGCTCCGCCTTCGAATGTGGTCTACGGAGACGCCATCCAGCACCAAGCTTTCGATCTAGATGAACCTCGCGCTGCACAAATGGAAGAGCTGGCAAGGAAACGAGATCAGAGCCTGACACCTCCGCCTGAAGAGCATTTTGACAGCAATAAGGAGATTCGGAACAAGGGCACTGCTTTTTACCAGTTCTCCGGTGATGCTGAGCAGCGAAAGCAGCAGATGGACAATCTGGAGCAAGAACGTGCTCAGACCGAGAAGATACGGAAGGAGCGCGAGAGTAAGATTGCGGAGCGCAGAGTACAGATTGAGGCCCGGCGGCAGGAGATACAGAATCGCAACGCGAAGAGGAAAGCCGATGACTTCCTTGCTGACCTGGGAGTGGAGATGGGTGTCAAACACGAAGGGAGTAAGCAAAACGTCGAAGCGGAGGAGCCTGGCGATACCCAAGCTACAGACATGACGAATCGCATAGAGAGAGCGATTCGACAAGAAAAGGGCGATTGAGGATAAGCGATCTGCTGCTTTCAAATGCTATATTGAATCGGTCGTGGAGCAGGCGAGTTCGCGAACTGGCTCATACTTTTCAAAGCACTTGCCATGTGCGTACTGGTTCGTAACCTGCCAGCTTGATGTTTCCAGTGCGGTTCGAAGTGCGACTAAAGCACTGATGTTCCGAGCAACACTCGGTAACAGTACGCGCAGTACAAGTGTCGTCATCAACTAGCGCTCAACACGACATGCTCTGTTTTCTCTTTTTGAGAATCGTCAAATGGGACATATGTTCTTCTCGCTAGACCCTCGTCACTGTCTGAGATACCTAGGGCAAGTTGAGAATTGGCGTTGATGCGACTAAGCTATGCTGTATGCTACCTAACCAGGCCCTTTTTCTCTGATGCAATCAAATGTGAGACAACTCTTATTCAACTATCAACAAGACTTAACGGCATCCATGTGTCACAATGGGCGAAACGTAAACCAGGGAATTGAGATCCACAAAGCCGGACAAAGTGTCTTCACTTACCTTCATGGCTACTCCTCCATGGGATCTGGATCGACCTCCTTCGGTGCATGCAGGTTCATCATACTATCACACCGTGGCAGACCAGAGAAAGCGGCAGCACCAGCTGGAGGCTCTGCAGACGAGAGTCCATCAAACGAGTTGACCATCTGGAAATAGTCCTTCTTGGCTTGCTGATTCGCGAGATTAATGGTGCCGCTGATCATGAGCAATACTGCTCTAGTGAACCACTTCAGAAGGAAGTATCGATAGTTCAGAGGAGCGATGTTGAAGATGCGGTCGCTTTGGTCCTCCCGTGGGACACCATGATACTCCTTCAAAGCGCCAATTGCGATGCGTGTGAGCAGTGCAATGGTCGGCGCTGTTTGGACTGTGACGACGAACCAGTCGGCGCGGAAGTACTTGTTCAGTGCGAGCAGGATGATGTCAGTCTCCTTGGTCACTGCGCCATGAACGGGGTTTTGCGCCTGATGCATTACGGAGGCTGGAAGCACCAGCGAGTGTAATGCTGTGTTCAAAGCCTGCTTAAAATGGATGTTGTAGATGCGAAACTGGCTGAACTGATGCGGCAGCATCTGGGTTTCCAGAGTGGCGTACCCATTGGCATCCTCCTCCCATTTGACGCGCTCCAGGCGGTCGTCAAAGTATGAGAGGCGGATGTCATCGTTGCTAGTCATGACGCGTGCATCGCAGCGCTCGCAGATGAATCGTTTGCAATCATCCTCTGTCATTTGCTCGAGGTTTCGCGCTTCGAATTCATGTCCACACGCAAGAACCTTGACAGTCTGATATGAAATATCATCCAACTCGAGAGGTGGATCGATGCGCTCAATTCGCCTATTCAGAACTTCGAGGTAAGGCTCAGCAGGATGAGTGTTCCAGCGACTCTCAAGATGTTGAATATCTCTCGCTTCAGCTTCAAAGTCTTGCGTAAGCATCGCCTTTGATACGACCAAAAAGGTAAGATCAGTAGCTCGAAAGATCAGAGAGCGAAGATCTGCCGCCCAGGGCTTTTTCTCCTTCAGCTCAACGTACTGCAGAAGTTCTAAAAAGAGCTTTTCCTCGTACTTGAAGTCTTCGCGCTGAATAGCCGACTTACCTTGCCCAGACGTGAAGACGGTGGTCAAGCGAAAGCGATAGACGGGACGACTGTAGTCGTTCTTCTCGAAGTATCTGATGATCTGCATCTCGGTGGTCCCAGCACATTGTTGCAAGGCTTGTACAGCCTCGAATATGCTGAGGGACTGCTGAGCAGCTGGAGCGAAATCCACGCTCTCAGCTGGTTTCGCTGGTATTCGGGACGTCAGAACGAGTGCTTCTCGCTCAAGCATGAAGGTCTTGATTTTTGGCTTGAGTCGGTGTTGAAGGTGTAGCGGGTGCCTGGGACCGAATGGAATGCCTGGCGGAAGCAGCTCGTATGCTGGAAACTTGTAGCTGATTTCGTGATGACGGCTCTTGATGCCGACATCGCGTTTTCCGAAGATGTTCTGAACGGAAGTATCGTGTGACGCGCTACAAATTTTCAGCGCGTTGACGAGTTCTTCCTCTGGGATCCTGGCTTGGGCATTGTTGATGTCCAACGAGCCGAGTGCCAAGGCTAGCTCGGCGGTCTCCAAGTTTCCTGCGTACAGCGACATGGTTGCTGTTCAGTATGTTGGGGTTATCGGCCTTGTATTCGGGGATGTCCTAGTGCTGGTGGACACAAAGTAAGTTGCGCAGCGCTTTGACACTGTTATGTTAGGTAGTGTTCGTTGTTGAGCTTCTGTGTGGAGGATCGGGATGAAGATTCGATCGAGTCTGAGGAGATCACGAAGTGGAATATCTGCAGATCTTCACTAAATCCTCGTTCACTTTCACGAATCCTTTGTCTTCGAACAATCCTTTTGTTCTACAGGCATGGAAGAGCTGAACAATCTTATTGTGCCTCTCCATACAGGTTGATTGTTGCCAGAAATCGAGAAAATTCATGCTTCGTAGCACAATGCTTGGTCCTACGATTCGAGCGCTTCACTTGTCTCAGTAGTGCATTATTGTTGCATAATCGTTCTTGTTGCGGCCTGCAGCGTAGAATAGCTGTCTTTGTCAACAAACGATAGCACTTGACTGCAAAGAGTAGCACACTGTATGAGTCGTCAATCTGTGCAGTGATCATTGTGTAGATCAGATTCAGCTGAGTTCGGTGTGCTTGTAGGCCATGATCTCAGCATTCCGTGTTCCAGTCTTGGCATAACAGGCGACAGCAATTGTGAATAATATGTTATACGTCGTGACCGTAATGTATATACCGTATAGTTTTTTCAATGTTTTCCAGAAGTGCGGTGGCAATGTGAGAGTTATCCACATCGAGGCTCGAAGGATTCCGTGCCTGGAGGCTCAAGGCAGCAGCCGGAAGCACGGACCATGCCATCGACTACTTCTGTACCACAGCGCGCTCTGGTTCCAATAGGGCATTTTCTGAGCTCTTCTTCAACGTTAGAATGGTTGCCCGAATTCGAAGTCGAGCCTTGCCATCAAGCACAACGCAGGGTGTGACGAGGCGGAATGCTCGCAAAAAGGTGGGGTGCTCCCTCAAGATGATCGAGGTCATTATGCTGACGTCGAAAGACAGACCAAGAGACCATCTTGGGCATCCTCTGTACAACAAGTAACCCAGAGCGTGCGCATGGGCCGTAATATGCACCTCAACAATGCTCGTCAAGCCGTCCTGCAGACCGCGGAACTACTAGAAGAAATATTTTCATACCTTCCGGTGATCGACCTATGGCGACTTCAACGCGTCTCTAAGCAGTTTCTGGAGTTGACCGTGACATCTCCAAGAATAAATTCAGCCATGCTTCTGACTCCAGACCCAGAATTGCCACGATCCTGCTGGAAAGCTCGCCTGAGCAGTAAGACCAGCACGTATGAGACAGTTGTTTCAAACCATGCGGAGCAGTCCACGTGGGTATCCGGATGGCCAGAGAAGAGGCGAACGCCTGCTCAGCTGGCACCAATCCTGAAATTGCGCGAAGACCAGATGATGCGACCAGATGACGTAGCCTATCGTACAAATTCCGCCTGGCGTTTGCAGTACTGGGCGGATGAACAAGTGAGATTCAAAGTGAGGCCAGATCTGGCTGCGATTGCTCCCTGGGAGGATTGTTTCGTGACGAATCCGGCATGTTTTAGCATTGCTGCCAGTATCCGGTTGACTGTGCGACATCACGGGAAGGAGTACGCTCAGTTTCGAGTTACTGCCAACGTCAAGAATGACGATGGTATCAAAGTTGGCGAGATTCTCAGATCGCCAATGGATTTGGCCGCCGGTATGGAGTGGTGGGATGATGGGCGGTACTTTAGGAAACCGGAAGTGGTTCCATCTCAGATAATCGCCAAGGTCGAGAAGAAGTTTCGCTGCAAGGCGGAACTGGATATTGAGCGAAGTTGGTTCATCCTGAATGGAATGGTTGTGCCTTGCGAGGGGGAGTGGCAGACTGTGCCCAGGAATGTGGAGTCTCGATAAGACCAGGCCGGGTCTGTGTCTTCAAGATTGTTGTGTGCGAGAGCGTGAGGTAAACAAAGGCCGAATCTTGTATCCGATGAGCACCGTTTGCACCTCTATCACGCAATACGTATGCTTTCCGGGTCATTCATCTCCGTCGGCATCGGCAATTATGTCAACCATACCATCTACGCCTTTCGAGTATGCTTCACTGGTCAACAGACGGTGATTTTGGAGCGATTTCAAAGCCTTCTCAATCCAGATCTGGCAATTGAACTCAGGATTCGAGTTCTCCATGGGGACGGCGCGAAGAATCCCGTCAAGCCGCGAATTTGTCGTGAGCATGCTCAGCATACCGACGTTGACGACGCCGGCGATACCATGATCGAGAGCAGGATCATGGGAGTCTTGTAGCTCGTAGACGTACTCGCCAGGCGGCCCGATGGCATGGATGGTAATCGGAGTGAGAGTGTCTGGAAAGCGGAAGCATAATGCTGTGTGCCTATACTGTGGAAAGTCGACCGGATCTCCTTTCCATACCACGATACTCAAGTGAGGCTTGCCGGCCATCGATGTTGGGCTGTCTGTGCATTGTAACAGGTCAAAGTTGGTGATGAGCCAAAGAGACAGATTATTCATCGGGAAGGAGACGGGACGAACCGAGTCACGGGGATAAGGTTCTCGGGGATGAAACCGCTTCCCCAGTGTCTCCACATTTTGAGCCAAGCCAAGCCAAGCCAAGCCAAGCTCTCAGCCCTTCTTCCAACCTCGCATCCAAACTTCTTGTTGTTCATCCTCCAGTCCCTGCCTGCGCTGCGCCGATGCGTCGGGCTGTCCACATATTTCAGCATTGGCATGGGACCAACCTGCCTCTCAGCTGTCTCGTTTGCCAATCTTCTCTTCCGCGTCACCCTCGGGATCCCTTGTCCAAGATCAAGCCTACGGGGCACCGCATCAGGAACAGGGCACGTCTATGTGTCACGCGGGAGGCTCTTACATGAGTTCTTCGACCAAAACCAGCCACGTCTCTGCCGACAATCAACACGTTCTGCACTATGATGGAGATGGTCTCGAAATACGATAAAGTACGCCGCAGGAGCCGCAGTTGTGAGCGGCATTATTCTGCCCTGCCATCATTCTTTGCGTCCGGTTTAGGTTGCTACATCGCCTCTTGGCCTATATATCCCGGGATGATCCCTCCTACCCTCCACCAACCCATCCTGGATGATGATCCTCCACTTTCGCACTTCGTCAGACGAGCAGCATGGCACTGGCAGCCTATTCACGTCAGGGTGCCATCCGGTAGGCACTGCGCTGTGCTGTTCAACCAGCCATTCCATCTATACAATATCTTGGCCCGCTTCGGCTTCGGCTGCGGTGAGCCCGTGACTGAGAAAGCTGTATAAAGCCTGACAACCCAGATTGCAATCTTGTCAGCGATCCTTCATGCCCCCCTGTCATCAATCTTAATTCGTTACTGCTACAACAAGTTGTTTTCACCATTACCTGCAGCTATCCTTCACGAAGCAGTTCGGGCAAACTTGATTGTGACTTGATTGGCATTGCATCGGCCGCGCTTTGCACACCATCACAACAATACACCCTCTACAACTCGAGTCTACAACTAGATCTCCCGGGATTATGCTTTTCAAGCTCCTCAAATCTAGCGCGCTGCTCGTCCTCCTCCTATACCAAAATCTCTGCCATGCAGCAACATACTCGAATCCTTTGCGACCTTCGGGGCCGGATCCTGACATTGTTTACCATGATGGTTACTACTACCTGATCGCTACAAATCAGGTTGACCTTACAATCACACGAGCGAGGACCCTCGAAGGTCTCAGAAATGGTGAGACCAAGCAAGTGTACAAAGATACCGATCCTAGCAGATGCTGCACCGTCTGGGCGCCAGAGCTGCACTTTCTAAACAATGCGTGAGTACGCTGTCTAGAAATGAGCAACTTATGCTAACTTTGTAGGTGGCACATATATTATGCATCAAGCCCGTCCGGCTGTGGTGGCGAGTACTGCCCCAAGCAGCGAATGCATGTGGTCAAAGGCAAGCCAAATTGAAGCAACGCATTGCACCAGATCTGACCGTGTCGTAGGTGGCGGGTCTCCCTGGGATATGCCATACACTTACGTCGGCCAAGTTCGACCGGACTTCTCAATTGACGGCACAATTCTGATAGCAAATGGACAATGTACTTGCCCGTTGCCAGTACAGTGCAGATATCGTACTGACTAGTGGCAGACTACTTCGTGTACGCCTGTCGACCTGAAAACGAGGACGTGCCAGATCAAAGCATTTGCATCGCACCCATGACTGGAGTCGCCACCACGGGAGCTCGCGCTGTGATATCTCGACCTGATCAGAGCTGGGAAAAAGACAATTTCCCTAACAACGAAGGACCTTATGCCCTGTACAACGGCAGCCAAATCTGGCTCGCATACTCCGTCTCATCATGCTTCAGAACCGGATACGCCATTGGTCTGCTGACTTGGACTGGTGGTGATCCTATGCAAATGTCAAGCTGGAAGAAGAGTGCTGGACCTGTCTTTGGGAGTGCGAATGGAAATTATGGGCCTGGGCACAATAGGTACGAAGTTGGAAAGGTTTGGACTGACGCGCTGCTGACGTATAATCACAGCTTCTTCAGGTCACCCGACGGCAAAGAACAGTGGATGGCATATCATTCAAAAAACGAAACGACCAAGGACGACTGCGGACAGACGAGAAGCGTCAATGCAATCAAACTGAATTGGTATTCAGACGGAAGTCCCGACTTTGGCCGTCCACCTCCATTTGGGACGTTATTGGCAGGGCCGAGTGGGGAGTAAGCACGTCCATGAGCTGTAGGGAACAAGTATCCATACGTATAGATTCATTCAGGATCAAGTAGACGACACTTAATTAATACAGATTATCAAGCAGAAGCCGTGAGCTCACATAAGAACGGATCGAGTTGTCCAAACACTTCTTCTGTTGGACGAAAAAAGCCGTGCGCCAGCTAACAAGGCCAGGCATGTTCGGACCGAGACGGAGTTGCAGAGGCCCAGAGGGACATCTGCTGCTAATGATAAAGTAAGTAAGAGCCACCTTAGGCGGTTTAACGTTTTTGCATACGACACTCGATACAACTTACAAGAGCTCCTTCGCGACCAGTTTGGGAAGGTCTTTAACACCATTCCAGATTACGAGGAGACTTGGGGTAAGTGTTCAAGCAGCGTGAGAAACTACGCACTAGTAATCCTGCTGATATCAATCGATGCAGGTCTGTTGAATCACCGTTGGTCTGGCTTCAGGAATCAGACAGTGGTGAACAACTACGTGAAGCCGTTTGTCCGAGCGACGCACTCATGATGGTGCCGTTGATGCGAGAATGCCTAACGCAGGGTGGATTGAGGCGTGGGAAGACGACCGCTCCGAGCCTTGGGTCGTATTTTTGAGGATTACGCCCATGATAGCGATGGATCTGTGCACCAGCTTCTCATCACGCGAATGGTAGTTATGATTGAGCCGCCGATGATGATAGAAGGTGGAGGACACAATGCATTTTCCGTCGATTCCAAATGAAAATGTCAAGTGAGAAGAAGTTGTGCTACTGCATGTTCCCTGGCCGTGCATCCCTGCGGGCGATCAAGCTCCGTGCCGTGCACCTCACCATCCCAGAAAGCGCCATGTTCACAGCTCGCTATGCAACACAACAAAGTGCAAAAATGTCATAGAGACCTCGTCAACGTCAACATCGGCCAACCACGATGCCTCACTTCACGGTGCCCATCGAGACGCAAAGCGGCCGCAACTCTCCCAAACAACCTCCATCAACCATCTACAATGTCAGCGATCCGCCGTACCGCGGCCAGCTTGAAGCAGACGCCACATACTATCGCCAGACCTCACCGGATACCGCGATCGTAATCGACAATGGCAGCTCTTCAGTCCGCGCAGGCTGGCAGACCGATGCCACTCCTCGCCTACAATTCCCGCCGCTTATGGCGCGTTATATGGATCGCAAGCTAAACCGGAAGCTGACTTTCATCGGCTCGGAGATCTACTTTGATGGCACGGCGCGTGGGCAAGCAAAGAATATATACGAGCCTGGGAGCAATATCATCAACAACTGGGATTGCGTGGAAGGCGTGCTGGACTACATCTTCCTCAAATTCGGTCTAGATCATGCGAATTCGGGCGTAATCGATAGACCGATTCTCATGACCGAGCCTCTAGCAAATCTGGCCTATACCAGGCGCGTGATGAATGAGATACTATTCGAGCTGTACAACGTGCCGAGCGTTGCGTACGGAGTAGACAGCTTGTTCAGCTACAACTACAATGGCGGAAACACGGGCCTGGTCGTCAGCAGTGCGAATATGAGCACTCATCTGATACCTGTGGTGGACAAGCAGCCTTTGATATCACATGCGACAAGGCTGGACTGGGGAAGGGCGCAGTGTGCTGAATATCTCACAAGACTGCTAAAAATCAAGTATCCTGGCCTGCTCACGACCGGGAAGGTGAACGAGACGCAGATCGAAGATCTGGTGCGCAACCACTGCTATATAAGCCAGGACTACGATAGAGAAGCAGCGAAGATGCTCGAGTGGACTGGGTTGGAAGACCGTGACTGCATTGTGCAACTGCCGTTCCAGGAGAAAGAAGTCGTGCAGAAGACCGAGGAAGAGATCAAAAGAGCTGAGGAAAAGAGACGCGAAGGAGGAAGGAGATTACAGGAGCAAGCAGCAAAGATGCGACTGGAGAAGCTTATCCGGAAAGAGCAAGAATTGGAGTACTTCAAGCAGCTGCAGGAACAGGTGCAAGAAGCGACAACGAAGAAAGAGATCAGAGCACTGCTCGAAGAGGACGAGTTCAAGGATGAAGCACATCTCGACCGCAAGATCAAGGAGATGGAGAAGAGCATACGGAAGCAGAGGAACAAGGATGTGGGAGACTTGGAGGAAGAGCCTGTCGAGCCTCCGACATATCCCCTACTGGATATTCCCGACGAAGAGCTGGACGAGGACGGCATCAAGGCCAAGCGGCAGCAGAGACTATTGAAGAGCAACCACGAAGCTCGAGCTCGCGCGAAGGCAGAGAAGGAGGCCGAAAAAGCACGGCAGGCAGAGATACAGCGACTTGACGATGAGCGGAGAGAGTCAGATCTGGATGCTTGGGTGGAGGAGCGCCGAGCTGCCAGACAAGCCACTATACAGAAGATGAAGGAGCGTGAGCGATTAAAGGCAGACCTCGGCAACAGAAAGTCGCAAGCCTCGCAAATGCGCATGAAGCAAATCGCGAACTTGGCATCAGATAACCCTACAGGTCGGAAAAGAAGACGGGGTCAGGGCGACGATGATGGTTTCGGAGCAGATGATGCAGACTGGATGGTCTATCGAGATATTCAAGCCGGTCGCAACGATGATGACGAAGATGACGAGGAGGAAGATCTCGACGGCCAACTCAAGAACATCGAAGCACAGCTCCTCAAGTACGATCCGGGTTTTACCGAGCACAGCACACAAGAAGCGCAGAAAGACTGGACGAAGAGCTTGGTCCATGCTTTCGTGCGCGGGCCTTACCCATTCGACCCGGAATCAGCGCGAGAATCGAATCGGTTCCACCTTAACGTCGAGCGAATACGGGTACCTGAAGTCGTCTTTCAGCCCTCCATTGCAGGTGTTGACCAAGCTGGCATTGTTGAGATCGCTGAAGATATCCTCATGCAGCGATTGTCCGGCCATGCAGCACGGGATGCTATCCTCAAAGATGTGTTTCTGACTGGAGGATACACACTGTTCAAGGGCTACGAAGAGCGATTGCAAAATGAGCTCCGCGCAGTTCTACCGGCCGATGTTCAGCTTGGCGTGAGGCGTGCAAAGGATCCAATTCTGGATGCCTGGAAAGGTGCTGCGAAGTGGGCTTCGAGTGCGGAGAGCAGGAACTCATTCGTGTCAAGGGAAGAGTGGCAGGAGAAGGGCGGCGACTATATCAGAGAGCACAATCTGGGCAACGTCTACTCCTAGACTCATCGCGATGTATGATACCTTTTTGGGCGGCCAATGTCACGCTGGGCTCGGCGCCAAAATACGGCAGCGCTGGTGTTATGGCGCATGAGACATCCCAACGGACTCGTGCTTTCGACCTGTACTATCACTGAGATACCATCTCAAGGCCTTCAATACGAGCTTGCAGCTTTTTGCTCTGATTCAGCCAACTACATGGTACAACTCCCAAACTCGTGGCTTCGCAGATTGGCATCGACTCCAAATCGTCATGTCCAATAAGCGACGACGTTGGAGTTGCACGACAGGAAGCCGCCAAACTGAGCAGCGCTACACTCGAGCGCCTTGCTACTCAGCTCACTCCAGGTTCTTACACTCTTTCCTAAGTTGCTCACAGCGGCAGCCTTGCCATACGACGGTGATGTTGGATCAAATGCTCCAATTCTGCTTCTTCTGCCATGCACTATGCCAGATTCAGCACAGGCACGGAAACTGCAAATGTCCATCGACGCTAAGGACCACGCGAAGAATAGATGCAGATGTGACATGGAACACCTCAGAAAGAGGTCGATTGCGGGCATGTCGGCCTGAGTACGGACAACTGCGTGGTAGAACGGCAACTCCAATTCTCGATTGTCCACAGATAAAAACAAGAGAAACATCTACCAACCACCCTTCCGCACAATCCCATCCAACCCTCCCAACCCCCTCAAACCTCACCCCACCGATTGAAACCAATTAACCCATTCGTATAGTCGTCACATCTATACCCGAGATTCGTGTAGCCGGTGCAGAGCCGAACGCAGCGTCTGGAGTTGGTGCCTTGCCATCGGTAGGAGTTCCAGAAACTTGAGGTGGAGAATTTGCCGCTGGGATTGATTGGGGTTAGAATTACAATATGAATAGTGAGGAGGGGTTTTTGGTTTTTGGAGGGGGGGTTAGAGTTCGGACTAATAGCATATGTTAGTATATGGTTCATGTTGGGGTTAGGATGTTTGTTTGTCTACAAGTTCCGCTGAGATTTCCTTCCTTCACAGAATGTCATTTGGTAGGCGGAGGCTGCGGTAGAGGCTGTGAAGAGGAGGGCTAGGGTTGGGAACTTCATTGTGTGTTTATTGCTGTAACGCGTCAGCTCAGTTATATAACAGGCACGTGACTTCTTAGCTTAAAGAATTTTTACACTGTATTTTAGACTATAGAATAGAGCAGAATATAGGCAATTAACGAAGCCAATTCAACCGCCGGCAATGCAGTATTACGTAAGTAATCTACTACGCTATACGTAATAGTTATAAGCCCGGATTTAATCCGCGGTATTAGAGACTTCTATAGTAGGAAAGAATTTTCTCTATTCTACGAGACCTTTAACAATCGATAGTCTTAACGGTACTATAAAGTAATAACTATTTAAGCTTCTATAAGTATCTATAATCGCTTTAAAGCAAAGTTAATATATCCTTAATAGCCCTCTTATTAGCTAGTCGCCTCGGTAGTAGCAAGCTTATTATCCTTCGTAGACCTAACGATTAGGATCGATAGTTTAAGTAAACTAAGATATACCTAACTAGATATAAGACCTAGGTCCTTACTAATCTATATTCGACTAAACCTACTAAGCTAGTATAACCCCTTCTTCCGGAGTTCGATATAGAACAACTTATAACTAACTACCTATATTAGGCTAGGGCAAAGCTTACTAAGGAACACTTTAATATAAGGAAGGCGGAGTTTAAGCGCTTTAGGACAGCTTGTAATAAGATAATTAAATATCTAGCTACAACTATAGACATTCGCTATTACTTAGAGATTACTAATCCTAATATAGACAATATAGTACTAACTATACGGCTTATTCTAACTCGATTAAAGAATAAGCTAGTATCTAACACTTAGTAGCAAAGGACTACCCTTAGTATAAGAACCTAAGCAAGTGAAGTCGCCTATTATGCCTTAGCAAGCCTATATAACAATTATATAATATTATTACGTACACTGCGGTGCTATCTCGCTAGCGCAAAGCCTACTTAGCGTATACGCGGAAAAGCTCGGTCGCTCGTACGGATATACTCGGTTACTAGCTCGGTATATATACTATCCGTACGTAGCCTAGTTAATAGTAAACGCTCTGCCCTATTCTAAGAAAGGTACGGTTTAGTTCTACTTTCTACTACGGCGATTAGTAGAGGGTATTCTATACGTTGCTATATACCTATTTTCTTATAGTTCTAAACTGTCTACCCTTCGTAGCGGCCTATAGAATCCCGAAAGATAAACGCAAGCGATCCGAACGCGCCGAGCGCGGGAAACGCGTAGAATAATATATTAGGAGCGCTTATAGTATTAGAAAACGACGCGGCGATATAATAAAACGAAGCCGAATATTAGGCGCGCCGAGAAGCGACCTACCTACGGCTCGAACGATTTCTAGCTAAGTAAGAGGTACTTAGGCTAGAAGTCTAGGCTTAAGAAGCTAAGCGAGAGAATGCGCGTTTTCGTGCCCTTAGGGACGCCGGCGATGCGCTAGCTCCGAGTAGCGGTACCGCCGGCGAGGGTCCTACGATAACCCTATCCCTAGGCGACAACGACGATAAGAACGAGGAAGAATTAGCTAATAAGTCGATTTAGAGGCCTAAATCTTAGAGAGCTAAATCTGTCTCGTATCGACTACCTCTTTCTAGAAGTACGCTAAGCGTAGCTACTATACCTAGTATAAGCTACGTAGTCGCTAGTCTTACGGCTATTAAGCCTCGCCTAAAGGAACCTAAGCCCTTTAAAGGCGATACGATTAAGGAGTCGAGGCGATTCCTTAGAGAACTTTCTATTACCTTTATACTATCCGGAGCTACCTATTATATAGACGAAAGCAAGGTGCTTTATAGTATTATATACCTCGTAGGCGATACGTAGGAGCGATAGTATAATAAAAATAGCCTTAAGGACCTATAGAATTATACCTACTAGGACTTTAAAACCTTCTATCGGGACTACGTCGGGGACCCTATAAACCGTATACTAGACGTAACCCTCGAGTATAAGGCGGCCCGTTAGCGTAAGGGACAGTTAGTCTAAAGCTTTACCCTTAAGCTCGTAGTACTCGAAGATTAACTTAGCGACTATAGCGAAGAGTATAGGATCCGCTATCTCCTTATTAAACTCTAGCCGGCGATTCGTAGCGCGATTATTAAATACTATATAGTACTAACGACGCGTTACGAACTCGTAGAGCTTGCGACGCGTATCGAGACCCCTAATAAGCCGTCTAGTAAACGCAAGGATCGTAACTACGATAAAACCGGAGGTAGCAAAGGTAAGAAGCGTCGATCTAATAGTTAGGCCCGCAAGTAGTAGTTAAATCGCGACCGTAGCGTAGGCGGAAAGTATACGAAGGGCGATAACTTATAAGGCAGATATAATATTAGCAAGGTCGAATATTATAGCTATCGCTAGAAAGGCTATTATAAGAACGCGTACCCGAACTACTATCTCTAGAAAGACGACAACCCTACGGTACGTAAGGTAGCCGCTAACGCTAAAGAAAAGAAGAACGACTCGAAGGCTAAGGGAAAAGATAAGGTACCTCCTAAGAGCTAGGGATAGGTACGGAATCTTAACTAAGTAGCTTAGTAGTAGTAGTACTTACGGGACGCGTACGCGGAGTAATCGTTACGTAAGAAGGGGAAGTGTCCGTCGAATGCTTGTTAGATAATGCTACTAATATTAATATAGTATCTTAAGAATTCGTTCTACGATACTAGCCTTAGCGGATTGTTAATACCGTACTACCTAGTGCCGATAGTTTCTAGGGCGACCGAGGATACTACTACGGAGCGTATTATCTACGCTTACGGATCGCCGACTCTATAGGCTAAGAACGTATTACTACCGGAGTGTTCTACGCTTTCGAGATGCCCCTCCCTAATATTATTCTTAGTAGGCCTTAGAGGCGCGATTAAAAGGTAATCGTTAATAGCTCGATAGATGCCTAGACCTATAGAAACGAAGCCGTAGCGCGTTCGATACGCGTACGGGAACTATAGGAATTCTAGAAGGATATACGTAACGCCCTATACGTATATACGATTAGCGTTCGCTAGCTCCGCGATATCGCTAAAAGTTCTTCCTTACTAGAAGAATTCAAAGACTTCGAAGACGTTTTTATAATAATGCCCGAAGCGAGACGCAAGCTCCCCGAAGACGTAGAGTATACGATTAACCTAATTCCCGGAACGAAGCCGCCTTATAAACCTCTCTACTATTCTTTAGGAAGAGAGCTTAGCGACCTTCGTAATTACCTAAGCTTAGCCTTAGACAACGATTAGATCTAGCTTAGTATAAGCGAGGCAGGTACGCCGATCCTGTTCGTACTAAAGAAGGATAGTAGTCTAAGACTCTACGTCGATTATAGGGGGCTAAACGAGATTACTATTAAAAATCGTTACCCCCTGCCTCTTATTAGCGAAACGCTTAATAGGCTTAAGGACGCCGAATAGTATACGTCCTTAGACCTTTAGGATGCATATTACCGCATCTGTATTAAGCAAGGCGACGAGTAGAAAACTACGTTCTATACGCGGTATAGGCACTTCGAGTACAAGGTAATGCCTTTTAGGCTTACTAATGCTCCTACTACGTTTTAAGGATATATTAATAGGGCGTTAGCTAGCCTAGTTAATATTTGCTATATCGTCTACCTTAACGATATTCTTATTTATAGCAAAACGCGAGAGGACTACGTACGAGACGTACGCGCTATCCTTGCGCGGCTCCGGAAGTTCGCCTTATATACGAATAGAAAGAAATGTTCCTTCTAGAAGAAAGAAGTCGAATTCCTCGGGTTTATCGTTAGTACCGAAGGCGTATCGATAGATTAGCGTAGGGTAAACGCTATTATCGAGTAGCTTCGCCTATCGACGCTAAAGGAGGTTTAATCCTTCCTTAGATTCTATAACTTCTATCGGAGGTTTATTCTAAATTACTCCCGAATCGTTATACCGCTAACCGCCCTATCGAAAGGAGCCGTAAATAGCCGAAAGCTAGGGTAGGTCCCGTAGGGCGAAAGCGAGGAGTAAGCGTTCCGCTAGCTAAAGGCTACCTTTAGCTCGGCCTCGATATTGCGATACTATAATCCTACGAAGCCCCTACGTATCGAGACCGATGCCTCTACGTTTGCCTTAGTAGGAATTATATTACAATAGAGCGAAGATAGGAATTAGTACCCTATTGCCTTCTAGTTACGAAAAATAGTCCTAGCCGAGACGAATTATAAGACCTATAACTAGGAGCTCCTAGCGGTTGTCGAGTCCTTTAAGTATTAGCGCCCGTACCTCGACGGCGCTTAGTATACGACTCGCGTAGTTATCGACTACGCTAATCTTAAAGGCTTTATAAAGATAAAGTAGCTTATCGGAAGGCAGGTAAGATAGGCAACCTTCCTTATACCTTTCGACTTTACTATTAAATATCGGGCTAGTAAGCGAAACCTAGCCGATACGCCTTTACGACGTAGCGACTACGAGAGCGAGTCGTAGGCAGTAAACAACCTTCTCTCTATATTATAGTCGAAACTAGCTCTATAGTTAAATCTACCCGAGGATATTAAGCCGATTGTAAAACGCATCTCTATTATATATATAGGGATGCGAGACGCTAGTATAGTGCTAGCAGAACG